TGTCGCTCGAGCGAGACAGTGTCGCTCAAGCGAAAAACCACCCGAGAAGGCCAATTTTGTGCAGGTAGCGTCGCTCGAGCGAGAGTAGTGTCGCTCAAGCGAAATCCAACCCGAGAAGGCCAATTTTGTGCAGGTAGCGTCGCTCGGGCGAGAGTAGTGTCGCTCAAGCGAAATCCAACCCGAGAAGGCCAATTTTGTGCAGGTCGCGTCGCTCGAGCGACATTATTGTCGCTTGAGCGAATGTTGACCTGCGCAAACGTCGATCAAAGTTAGCCGGATAATGTAACTTAGGAGACTCATGTTAGAATCGGATTTCGCTCGAGCGAGAATAATGTCGCTCAAGCGAAATACAACCCGAGACTTCACAATGTTAAAATATGGTTGTATATGATAGCGGTTCCAGTGGAACCGCTCTTAAATTGCAACTTCTAATAGCGGTTCCACTGGAACCGCTCTTAAATTGCAACTTCTAATAGCGGTTGAACCTCAAGCGCTATCTAATATACTCAATTATATTAACTATTTTTTTGAATATTATGTTTTTAAATTTGCTATTAGAGAAAACCTTTCAGAATTCAAAATGTTAAATAGTTTTAAATATTAAAATTAACTTTATAAAAAATTAGGAAAAAAAATTAATCAAAAAGAGTTCAAAAATGTATTATAATATTCTCAATTTTGAGTTTAATTATATTGTTCATTCTCAAAGTAGAAAATTATATTGTAATTATTTTAATTTACATTTTGTGATCTTCTTAAAATTAGCATCAATAACATTAGATCTTATTAAAAGTGTAATTAAATCTTATTAAAAGTGTGATCTTATTAAAATAGCATCAATTAGCATCAATTACATTTTAATTTACATTTTGTGATCTTATTAAAAGTGTAATTAAATCTCTATTTTCTTAAATTTTTTTGTTTCAAACTTCTCAATTCTACATTTTTGTAACTTCTATCATTATATTATCATCCTCATCTCCTCCCATGTTCAACTTTATCTTCACAATAGTTAATATTCTTAAATAATGTATATTTTTAATTATAATTTTTGAATATATATTTCAGAAATTAATCAATTCTAATCTATTATTTGAAAAACTAATCAATTTTAATCAATAATTTAGAAAACTAATCGATTATAATTAATTCTTTGAAAAAATTATCAAATATGATCGATCATTTTGAAAATCTGATCGATCAGAATGGCAAAATCTTGTTGTATGTAATAGCGGTTCCACTGGAACCGCTATTAAAAACCACTTTTAATAGCGGTTAAACCATAACCGCTATCTAATATACACTTCAGATAGCGGTTATAGTGGTACCGCTTATTATATCCTCTCAATTATGATCGATCATTTCAAATTATGATCGATCAGAATTTAATTTCGCTCGAGCGAAGTAGTCTCGCTCAAGCGAAACATAACCCGAGAATTCACAATCTTAAACTATTTTTTTTAATATTATGTTTTTAAATTTGCTATTAGAGAAAACCTTTCAGAATTCAAAATGTTAAATAGTTTTAAATATTAAAATTAATTTTATCAAAAATTAGGAAAAAAATAATAATCAAAAAGAGTATTTAGAAAGTCAAATTATAGTTTCTCTGTTTTAAATAATTAAAATAAATAGTTAAAAATAAAAATCAAGACTAATATTATCTTCAATTTATTAAAAGTGTAATCAAATCTCTATTTGCTTAGTTTTTTTTTATTCAAACTTCTCAATTCTACATTTTTGTAACTTCTATCATTATATTATCATTCTCATCTCCTCCCATGTTCAACTTTATCTTCACAATAGTTAATATTCTTAAATAATGTATATTTTTAATTATAATTTTTGAATATATATTTCAGAAATTAATCAATTCTAATCTATTATTTGAAAAACTAATCAATTTTAATCAATAATTTAGAAAACTAATCGATTATAATTAATTCTTTGAAAAAATTATAAAATATGATCGATCATTTTGAAAACCTGATCGATCAGAATGGCAAAATCTTGTTGTATGTAATAGCGGTTCCACTGGAACCGCTATTAAAAACCACTTTAATAGCGGTTAAACCATAACCGCTATCTAATATACACTTCAGATAGCGGTTATAGTGGCACCGCTTATTATATCCTTTCAGTTATGATCGATCATTTCAAATTATGATCGATCATAATTAGATTTCACTCGAGCGAGAGTAGTCTCGCTCAAGCGAAACACAACCCGAGAATTCACAATCTTAAACTATTTTTTTTAATATTATGTTTTTAAATTTGCTATTAGAGAAAACCTTTCAGAATTCAAAATGTTAAATAGTTTTAAATATTAAAATTAACTTTATCAAAAATTAGGAAAAAAAATAATAATCAAAAAGAGTATTTAGAAAGTCAAATTATAGTTTCTCTGTTTTAAATAATTAAAATAAATAGTTAAAAATAAAAATCAAGACTAATATTATCTTCAATTTATTAAAAGTGTAATCAAATCTCTATTTGCTTAGTTTTTTTTTATTCAAACTTCTCAATTATACATTTTTGTAACTTCTATCATTATATTATCATCCGCATCTCCTCCCATGTTCAACTTTATCTTTACAATAGTTAATATTCTTAAATAATCTATATTTTTAATTATAGTTTTTGAATATATATTTCAGAAATTAATCAATTCTAATCTATTATTTGAAAAACTAATCAATTGTAACCAATAATTTACAAAACTAATCAATTATAATTAATTCTTTGAAAAAATTAGCAGATATGATCGATCATTTTAAAAATCTGATCGATCAGAATCTCAAAATCTTGTTGTATATGATAGCGAGTTCTACGCTATTAAAAACCACTTATAATAGTGGTTAAACCTTAACCGCTATCTAACATACACTTTAGATAGCGGTTAAGGTGGAACCGCTATCTTACATACACTTTAGATAGCGATTATGATCGATCAGAATTGAATTATGACCGATCAGATCTGTTTCAATCGATTAAAACGCATTTCAATCGATTAAAACAACTTGGAAAAATTTTGTGCAGAGTTTCAATCGATTATAGCGCATTTCAATCGATTAAAATAACTTTTAATATTTTTGTACAGAGTTTAAATCGATTAAAACGCGTTTCAACCGATTAAAACAACTTGGAAAAATTTTGTACAGAGTTTTAATCGATTAAAACTTCTTTTTATCAGTTAAAATAACTTGAAAAGTTTTATAAGAAAGTTTTGCAAGTATATCAATCGATTAAAACACGAAACAATCGATTGAATCATACTTAGAAAAGTTTTGTAAAGTGTTTTAATTGATATAACCGTTGTAAGTATCGAGCTAAAACAATTTTGTTAAAGAATCAAGAACGCATAAATGGATTGAAAGGACTTTTAACAGATTGAAACGGCTATTTCAACAGATTAAAACAAACTTTCAACAGATTAATTAATGCAGCAGTTTTTGAAATTTCTCTTTAAAAACAGTTTTGCTTGAACTTTTTAAACATACATTTGAACATCAGTTTTCACAAATCCTAAGCAATCATTCAAGTAACCTTTAGCATCCTTTTTCAAGAAAGATTCGCAACAGTTTTTAGAAGTTCTTTTGAAAATCTTTCTTGAGGCAACTTGCATTCTTGTGAAGAAGAAACTCTCAGCAGATTTGGATAAACTGGTTTGAGCTTTCTAGTTTCTTCTTTGTAAATTCTTTTTCATTCTTTTGTATTGTGTTGTGCCTGGAATTTGGGCACAAGTTTCTCTGCAGCTGGAAGTTGGTTGTGGAGGTTATCAAGAACTGGAATTTGGTTCTTGGTGAAAGGTTTTGGTGCCTGGAATTTGGGCACTGGTTTCTCTGCAACTGGAATTTGGTTGTAGAGGTTATCAAGAGCTGGAATTTGGTTCTTGGTGGAGAGGTTAAGTGCAGGAACTGGAATTTGGTTCTTGTGTTAGATTAGGTGTAAGATTGTTGAATCTGTAAAACATTTAATCTAGTGGAACCCAGCTGGAATTTGGCTGGAGACTGGACGTAGCCCTGGTATTGGGTGAACCAAGTATAAAATACCGGTGATATCTTCCTTAACCTTTCTCTCATTTAAATTCAGATTGCTTGCGCTTATTTTGATTGATTGCTTTGTGATTCAAGAACAGATCTTTAAACTTAATTTTCGAATTAGCAGGTGGTGTCGCTCGAGCGACGTTATTTTCGCTTGAGCGATAATGCAAAAATCAGATATAATTATGTATTATTTTCTCATTAGCGACCGATTTTAATTCGGTCGCTATTTCAATGTGTAATTCAGTCGCTAAATCAGTCGCTAAATGATTTTTTTATTTATGTATGAAATAGCCATCGATTTAGCGATTGAAAATTTGCGACGCACAAAAATTGGTCGCTATTTCGGTCGCTAAATAAAGGAGTGAAAACCAAATCATATTTTGGTCGCTAAATCGGTCGCTAATGGCGACCGAATTGAAGTGGTCGCTAAATTGGTCTCTAAATGTGACTAAAATTAAATCGGTCGCTAATTGCGATCGAAAAAATTCGGTCGCTAATTTCGGTGGCTAAATGTGTTTTTTCTTGTAGTGATTATTCAAACTTTTGAATTAAAAAAAAATTAGTTTTGTAATTAAAAAGAATTGTTACAAAACTAATTATTACACTGAGAGAATATACAACACTACACATTTCATGGTATATATGGGTTTTAGGATTTAGGTTTATTCTAGCGATTCATATATATGTGTATATATATATATATATATATATATATATATATATATATGTGTGTGTATATGTATATATATAGTTTTTATTTATTTTTTAAATATAATACATGTTTATCATATGCTATATAATAGACATATAAATATCTGCATGCACGTTGCATAATTGCGCAAAAAGAAGAGACAAAAACAACAATTAACGCCTACGAATCTGTGGCGGTGGCTCATCGATCCAGGAAGTGTCCATCAACAACCAAGAAATGGAACTCCTCAATTCTTCAGGCAATCATCCCAAAACCTGTCCCACAACAGTATCAGCTTCACTTTCATGTTCAGCTTGTTCCGTTGCTGCTGTTACTGCCACCTCTGTAAACTCAGTGGTAGCATCATCATCATCATCTTCTTCTTCTTCTTCTTCCATTGGGACATCGGCAATGTTGACTTCGGTGTCCTCGGATATCAGCTTCTGGCGGCAAATGGGACACGTCATGCAAGAGGGCAACCATTGATCGATGCAATGCTGGTGGAAAAAATGATGGCATCTCGGCAGCATCTTGACGGTGTCGGAGTCTTGGAACTCCACCAAGCACACCGCGCACTCCTCAGCCTCATTCCCCACTCGCAGCTCCTTCATCTTGGAGAAATCGAAGGTGGGGCACCTTTCGATCGCTTCGGCGATTCTTCTCGGGAGGGGATTGGTGTAGTGAAGGTGGGGAAAAAAACGCGCGCGGACTTGAAAGAAAACGAACAAGAAGAAGCCAATGAAGACAAAGGAGAAGGAAAGACTGAGTGAGACCTTCAAGTTTTCCTTTCGGTTCATCTCCTCGTAGGTAGCAGGGTTTGATGGATTCCACTGAGCTTTCGCGCATGCTGATGAATGCCAAAGAGACACCACAAGAATCAACGCATGCTGCACGGAAACCTCCATTATGAACAGAATCATGCGTTTGCAGAATGTATATGTATATATCAGAGAGATATGTATTGATGGTGTGAAAGTTAATGGGTTTGGATTTCTCGAAGAAAGAAAGAGAAATTGAAATGTGTAGGTTCTGACGGTGGAATGGAAGCATGACTTAAGGAAGCTACAAACAAGTTCAATTACGTTTTAGGTGTGTTTGTTTGTTCAAATATCTTTTCCTACAAACAAACTCAGCAATCGAACAAGAAAATATTAATTTCTGTGATTGTTTTTGTGTCTGGCTTTTCCGTAATCATTTATAATCTAAACTTAAACTAAATCGAAATTCGAGCCTTTATAAATGAAAACTAATGAGACTTGTTCTTGTGGGAAGTTTAACTATTCTTTTTTTCATGTTATTATCGACTGAAGTTTATAATTGCAGGTAGTAAATATATTCCTTAAATATTAGATTATATAATAAAAATTGTTTGATGGGTTTATTTCAAAAATATTTTCCAATAAATTGAGATATTTTTTATTTTTATATCAATTTTTAGTTGAAAAATAATAATATGAAAAAACTACTCTTTCAATTCTAAAATTAAGTCTACTAAATAATTTTTGTCTAAAGTTATATTAGGTGAATACTTCTTAATCCCTTTTTCACTGTTAAAAGACTGTTATTTCGAAATAGACTAAGTATTTTTTTAAAATATAATTAGTAAAATTAAACAATATCATTTATTTTTAATCAGTTTAAATATTGTTTTATGTTGTTTATATTTAAATTTGGCAATTCGGAAGGAGTGATTTGGAAGAAAAGTGTTAATAATATATTCTCTAACATATTTTTTTCTAATACTTGCTTCACTATTAGTTAAATTATTATATTGTTCAGAATCATTAAAAAAATTTATTAGATCCGAACTTTAATAAATTTTAATTAAAAGTAAAAATATTTTAAAAAGTAAGATTTTAACATTTCTCTATTTTAAAACTAATAAAAAAAACTCAAGAAATTAACGGAAGAATAAGACGTCAGATGTTAATGTGAACACATCTATCTATTTAAACTAAGTTTTTTATCCAAATCTTCAATACTCTCTCTCCATTAATTGTGACAGTTTTTTTTTTCTATTTCTTTTTTTAATATTCCAATAGTTTAACTCATTTAATATCCTTTATTATTTTATCTCTTTTTTTTCATAGAATTCATAGGTTTCACCTAAAAAAAATATATCATTCTTTAATGTTATGTTATTTACACGAATGCAAAGATCATATATAACAGGATGACTGAATCATTCTTATATAACAAAAATGATCCTAGCTTAGAGACACACTGTGAAAATTTTGGGATGAAGGACCTTAGTAAACATATCAACTAGTTGTGTAGAAGAAAGAATTGGTAGCATACGAATAAGACCATTTTGAATCTTTTTACAAGTGACGTAACAATCAATTTTTTATGTGTTTTGTTCGTTCATGAAAGGTAGGATTGTGAGTCAGGTATATAGCAGATTGGTTGTCACAAAAAATTGAAATAAGAGCAACACTAGAAGCTTTTAAATCAGTAAGTAAATAATGAAGTCACTGCAACTCACAACTCAAAGTCGCAAGAGCTCTATATTCAACTTCAGAAGAAGACCGAGATACTGTGATTTGCTTCTTAGTTTTCCAAGAAATTAATGAAGAGCCAAAAAACATAAAATATCCGGTGATAGATTTCCGAGTTTCCATACAACAGCCCCAATCAGAATCAACAAAATTTGAAGGAATGAGAGATGAGTTGACAGCAAAATGAAGACCTTTAGCAAGAGATCCTTTGAGATAACGTAGCACTTCAGGGATTGAGAAACATAATGACTCAGTTGTTGAGTGACAAAAGCTAGGTCTGGTCTAGTGGTTGTAAGATATCTGAGGGTCAGATAAAGGAGTTCTAGAGGAGCTATTTAGTTTGGTAGAAGGCTCCATAGGAGTGGTTACTGGTTTGGCAGCAAGCATGTCATGTTCTTCTAGTATTTCTAGTGCATATTTCTTTTGATTGACCACAATGCCAGATGAAGAACTTGATATTTCAAGCCCCAAAAAATAATGAAATTTGTCCTAGATTTTTAATGTTGAACTCATTGTCCAAATGTGTCTTGACATACTCAATTTCATTATGATCGTTGCTTACAAGAACTATGTCATCAACAAATATTAATAAAGCAGTGAAAGATACCCCAATATTTTTTATGAAGAGAGAATGATCAGCTGAAGATTGGTGAATTTAAGAGCTTGTAAGGTTGTGGTGAGCTTGGCATACCACTATCTACTAGCTTGTTTCAACTCGTACAAAGACTTTTGCAATTTACAGACCTTATTTGGATGAGAAGATGTCATACCAGGGGGTAAATTCATATAGACTTCTTCATGTAGGTCACCATGCAAAAAAACATTATTAACATCTAACTGTTCAAGGAACCAGTTTTTGGCAGCAACTATGGCAAGGATGACTCTTACTGTTGTGAGTTTTGCAACTGGAGAAAATGTATCAAAATAATCCACCCCTTCAAGTTGTGTATATCCCTTAGCGACTAATTGAGCCTTGTTCCTTTCTATACCACCATCAACATGAAATTTGATCTTATAAACCCACTTACAATCAACGGGCCTTTTATTAGGAGGAAGATCAACTATCTCCCAAGTGTGGTTTTGTTCAAGAGCTGCAATCTCAGAATTCATAGCTTGTACCCAACAATCCATTTTAGAAGCTTGAGTATATGTTTTAGGCTCAATTATAGAAGATACAAAATAACAAAAAATTCTATAATTGGGAGAACATTTTTTATAAGATAAAAAGGCAGATAAAGGATAAGAAATGGAAGAAGAATTGTCACCGGATGACACATCAGTACTACAAGCAGCAGACAAATAACAAAGATAATCTCTCAAGTAATGTGGGTGTTGTTTTTGCCGCAAGAAGTGTTGAGGTGTTTATGGTGCAGGGAGGTGTGATGTTGGATCAGTAGTATGATTTGAGTCATCTACTTCTTCTGGATTTGGAAAAATGATGGGTTCATTTGTATCAAAGAGGACAATATTCTCACAAATTGGTTTTGGCATACTTTGACTAGTCATATCAGATTCAACTTCTAATTTAAAAGGAAAGAAAGTTTCATAAAAAAATCACATTTCTCGAGACAAAAATTTGTCTACATTGAATATCAGAGAACAAGTATCCTTTAGTCCCATCTTTGTACCCAATAAAAATAATTTTTCTAGCCCTTGGAGATAATTTGGTTCGACCATGTTCCAAAGTTGTTGAGTAAGCCAAACAATCAAAAACTCTTAAGTGATTTAAGTCAGGTTGATGTTTATAAAGAACAATATAAGGACATTTATTTTGCAGCAAAGGTGTAGACAATCTATTAATGAGATGAACAGAACGAATGTCAACATAAGACCAAAGAGATTTTGGTAAATTAGCTTGAAACATCGAAGCCCTAACAACATTTATGATATGTTGATGTTTTCGCTCAGCAATACCATTTTGTTGAGGCGTTTCAACACATGTTGTTTGATGAGAAATTCCTTTTGCAAGATAAAAGTCTGTCATCAAAAATTCTGGTTCATTATCACTTCTGATTGCCTTAAGCTTTGCATCAAATTATGTTTCAATGTAATTAACAAAATTCTTTAAGTGATCTCTAGTTTCACTTTTATGTTTCGTTAATTTAATTCATGTAAACCGTGAAAAATCATCAATGATGGTTAAAAAATATTTATAACCAGTAATGGAGGTGGTGGAACATGGTCCCTAAATATCTGCATGTAAAGTATCAAAGATTTGCATTGATTTAGTTGTACTAGAAACAAAAGGAAGCTTCCTTTGTCTAAAAAATTGACATACATCACAAGGATATGAATTTTGGAAGGTTACTAAAGGAAATTGTGTAGATAATAACTTAAATTTTGAATATGAAACATGACCAAATCGTAGATGCCAAAACCTAGGACTAACAACAGTATTGCAAGCACAAAGGGAATGGGTTGAGTTTGTAGTAAGAGGATTAGCTACTTGAGACATTAGCACGTAGAGTCCTTGGAGCTGCTTAGTTGTACCAATCATCTTTCGGTTGTGGGTTTGTTTGATAAAACAAAAGGCAGATTTAAAAATAAGATAACAGTTGGAGTCTGAAATAAGTTTGGTAGCAGATATTAAATTGACCTTGAAGTTAGGAATGTATAGGACATTTTTTAAGGTTAAAAAAGGTAAAAGGTGCACAGTACCAGAAATCTTTGCATGAGTTTTGGATCCATCAGGTAAGGTAATGAGAATAGGTGAAATTTCAGAAAAGGTGAGAAAGTTTGCAAGGTTAAAAGTTATGTGATCAAAGGCTCCTGTATCAATGAGTCATTGGTCACATTATATACCTGTAAAAGAAGGAGAATGAGTGTGCAAAGCTGTGGTGTGGACAAGATTGGAATGATGGGAAGAACTACAGCTTTCTAAGTTGGACTATTGAAGCAAGCTGAGAAAACCTTGATATTGCTCTTGTGTAAAACCAGAACCTGAGGCAGTAACTCCTGACTGGGTTTGAGATCCATTTTTTGTGGCATAGTTGTCATTGGAAGTGACAACATTAGTATTACTTTGTCTCAGCTTGTAACTAGGAGGAAACTCATGTTTAAAATAGCATGGGTCAATTGTGTGATTGGTCCGACCGCAATGAGTACAGAATTTGTTGGAGAAGACTTGACCTCTTCCAGTATTATTATGGCCTCTACCTCTATTTTCACGACCTCTGCCATTTCCAGTGTATTGGTTTGATTAACAAGAAAACCCCTTCCAGAACCAATGTGTTGATCAGTGTTGACAACAAAGATTTTCGTATCAAATGGAGGTTCAATCATGCTTGTAATACACATCTACCTTTCTTGTTGAGCAACCATAGAGAATGCTTTGTTTATTGGAGGAAGAGGGTCCAAAAGCATGATTTAGGACCTAACATGTGAAATTTGATCGTTTTAACCCTTTG